CTCACACTGTTCTTCCTGCATCTTTGTCCCTGGCATTGCGCATGCGTTATTAGGCGCCAGGAAGTTTTTCCCTCCATCTTTGTCCCTGGCATTTTTTCTCATTAAGAAGAACTGGCTGTATCTTAAGATTTTTTCTCCCCTCCATCTTTGTTCCTGGCATCACGCAGGCGCAGTTAGGCTCCAGGAAGTTTTTTCCCTCCATCTTTGTCCCTGGCATTTTTTCTCATTAAGAAGAACTGGCTGTGTTTTAAGATTTTTTCCCCTCCATCTTTGTTCCTGGCAACACGCAGGCGCAGTTAGTCACCAGGAAGTGCTCCCTCCATCTTTGTCCCTGGCATTTCCTCATTAAGAAGCACTGGCGGTATCTTAAGAATTTTTCCCCTCCATCTTTGTTCCTGGCATCACGCAGGCGCAGTTAGGCCTTAGGAAGTTTTTTTCCTCCATCTTTGTCCCCGGCGTTTCCTCATTAAGAAGCACTGGCTGTATCTTAAGATTTTTTTTCTCCCCTCCATCTTTGTTCCTGGCATTACGCAGGCGCAGTTAGGCCTCAGGAAGTGCTCCCTCCATCTTTGTCCCTGGCATTTTTTCTCATTAAGAAGCACTGGCTGTATCTTAAGATTTTTTTCTCCCCTCCATCTTTGTTCCTGGCTCCGCGCACGCGCAGTCAGGCGCTAAGCAACCGGAGGCCCTTTCCTTCCATTTTTGTTCTTGGCGCTGCGCACGCGCGGTGAGAGGCCAAGAAGCCGGGCTAAGGCTTCCTTCATCTTTGTCGCTGGCACTGCGCACGCGCAGTCGGTCTCCGGGAGGCCTTTACTGCCAGGAAACAAAATGGAGCGCGTCGACAGCAGCGGCGAAGGGTGCTCTCCTCAGGGAACGAGGCCTACTTCGCCTTCGTCGCCGTGACCGGAGCCAGGAAGGAACACGCGTGGAAATTAGGCCGAAGAAGGAGAAGAAGGAGAAGAAGAAGAAGGCCCGAAGCCAGGTAGATGATTGACAGCTCGGGGGGCGGGGCCAGGGCAAACCGGATTATCAGGAGGTGGACGGATAACCCGCTTTCTCTCTCTCTCTCTCAGGTACATCATACTGTTATAACTATTATTGTGTGAGGATATTAGAATATTAGTAATATAATAATGTGAGAGATGGGACCCTTAGAATAGAATATTAGAGTAATAGAATAATAATAATAATAATAATAATAATAATAATAATAATAATAATAATAATAAATATACAGAACACTCCCAGTATAATGTAATCGTGATAATATAATATTATAGTAAATATACTGTATAATATTATAGTCATAATATAATAATTTTACTTTAGAATAGAATATTAGAGTAATAGAATAATAATAATAATAATATACAGAACACTCCCAGTTTAATGTAATCGTGATAATATAATATAGTAAATATACTATATAATAGTATAGTCATATTATAATATAATAATTTTACTTTAGAATAGAATATTAGAGTAATAGAATAATAATAATAATAATAATAATAATAATATACAGAACACTCCCAGTATAATGTAATCCTGGTAATATAATATTATAGTAAATATACTCTATAATAGTATAGTCATATTATAATATAATAATTTTACTTTAGGCAGAACATTCCCAATTAAAAAAATAAATAGAATAATAATACAATATACAGAACACTCCCAGTATAATGTAATCGTGATAATATAATATAGTAATTATACTGTATAATATTATAGTCATATTATAATATAATACTAATATGTAATGCAGAACACTCCCGTGAATGGAATCATAATATAAGTAATATAATAATATTATATTATGCAGAACACTATGATACATCATTATAATATAATATAATATAAGTAATATTATAATGTTATATTATGCGGAACACTCCCTTGGATATACTATGATACTATTAGAATCTAATTATGATAATATAATATAAGGAATATAATAATATTATATTATGCAGAATACCCCCATGGATAGACTATGATACTATTAGAATCTAAGTATTATAATATAAGTAATATTATATTATGTAAAACACTCCCATGGATATACTATTATAATGGAATCATAATATAATATTATAGTAATATTATAATATAATAATATTGTACTGTGCAGAACACTCTCATGGATATACTGTGATACTATTGTAATCTAATTATTATATAATATAATATAATATAAGTAATATAATAAATTTACATTATGCAGAACACTCATGGATATACTGTGATACTATTATAATCTAATTATTATAATATATAAGTAATATAATAATATTATATTATGCAGAACACTCTCATGGATATACTGTGATACTATTATAATCTAATTATTATAATATATAAGTAATATAATAATATTATATTATGCAGAACACTCTCATGGATATACTGTGATACTATTGTAATCTAATTATTATAATATAATATATAAGTAATATAATAATATTATATTATGCAGAACACTCTCATGGATATACTGTGATACTATTATAATCTAATTATTATAATATATAAGTAATATAATAATTTTACATTATGCAGAACACTCTCATGGATATACTGTGATACTATTATAATCTAATTATTATAATATAATATAATATAATAGAAGTAATATAATAATATTATATTATGCAGAACACTCATGGATATACTGTGATACTATTATAATCTAATTATTATAATATTATATAATATAAGTAATATAATAAATTTACATTATGCAGAACACTCATGGATATACTGTGATACTATTATAATCTAATTATTATAATATAATATATAAGTAATATAATAATATTATATTATGCAGAACACTCTCATGGATATACTGTGATACTATTATAATCTAATTATTATAATATAATATAATATAAGTAATATAATAATTTTACATTATGCAGAACACTCCCATGGATACTTTATTATGCTATGATAATGTAATCATTATGATATAATAAAATAGTAATATAATATACAGAACACTCCCATGGAGATACTATTATACTATTGTAATATAATCAATATAATATAATAGTAATAAAGGTAAAGGTAAAGGTAGTCCCCTGACATTAAGTCCAGTCATGTCTGACTCTGGGACCCTGGTGCTCATCTCCATTTCTCAGCCGAAGAGCCGGCGTTATACGTAGACACCTCCAAGGTCATGTGGCCGGCATGACTGCATGGAGCGGCGTTACCTTTCCGCTGGAGCGGTACCTATTGATCTACTCACATTTGCATGTTTTCGAACCGCTAGGTTGGCAGAAGCTAGGGCTGACAGCGGAAGCTCACACCGCTCCCCGGAATCGAACCTGCAACCTTTCGAATAAGTTCAGCAGCTCAGCGCTTTAACCCACTGCACCACCGGGGGCTCAATATATAATATATATTATATATTTTACATTATGAAGAACACTCCCATGGATATACTATTATGTGATTTTAATGTAATAATTACAATATAATATACAGCACACTCCCCTGCCTCATAGGAAACCTGCTACAAAACAGGAGCTTTTTTGTTGAGTTCCAGGGCCAGAGAAGCAGATGGCGGAAACAGAAGAACGGCCTGCCTCAGGGGAGCGTGCTTGCTCCATCCATGTTCAACATCTACACAAATGACCAGCCACTGCCAGAAGGGACAGAGAGCTTCATCTATGCTGATGATCGTGCCATCACTGCTCAAGCAGGGAGCTTTGAGATGGTTGAACAGAAGCTCTCCGAAGCTCTAGGTGCTCTTACTGCCTATGACAGGGAAAAACCAGCTGATCCCTAAACCATCTAAAAAACAGACATGCGCCTTTCACCTTAAGAACAGACAAGCATCCTGAGCTCTGAGAATTATTACCTGGGAAGGAATCCCACTGGAGCATTGCAGCACACCCAAATACCTGGGAGTCACTTTGGACCGTGCTCTGACCTACAAGAAGCACTGCCTGAACATCAAGCAAAAAGTGGGTGCTAGAAACAATATCATACGAAAGCTGACTGGCACAACCTGGGGATCACAACCAGATACAGTGAAGACATCAGCCGTTGCACTATGCTACTCTGCTGCTGAGGACGCATGCCCAGTGTGGAACACATCTCACCACGCTAAAACAGTGGATGTGGCTCTTAATGAGACATGCCACATTATCACAGGGTGTCTGCGCCCTACACCACTGGAGAAATTACACTGCTTAGCCGGTATTGCACCACCTGACATCTACCGGGAAGTAGCAGCCAAGAGTGAAAGGACCAAAGCAGAGACATCTCCAGCTCATCCCTTGTTTGGGTATCAGCCAGCACGTCAACGACTTAAATCTAGAAATAGTTTTCTAAGATCTACAGAGACACTCACTGGAACACCCCAGCAAGCAAGAATCCAAAAGTGACAGGCTCAAACCCAGAACCTCAATCAATGGCTGATACCAAATGAGAGATTCCCCCCTGGGCACACAGAAAACTGGGCAACTTGGAAGGCGCTGAACAGACTGCACTCTGGCACCACGAGATGCAGAGCCAACCTCAAGAAATGGGGCTACAAAGTGGAATCCACGACATGCGAGTGTGGAGAAGAGCAAACCACTGACCACCTGCTGCAATGCAACCTGAGCCCTGCCACATGCACAATGGAGGACCTTCTTGCGGCCACACCAGAGGCACTCCAAGTGGCCAGATACTGGTCAAAGGACATTTAACCAACTACCAAATTTGCAAAATCTGTGTGTTTTTTTCCTTTTTCTTTTTAATCTGTGTGTTTGTTTTGCTCTGTTAGAATTGTAACACAATGGTTGCTGATGACACGATAAATAAATAAATAAATAAATACCTCGTGAAGGCGGATCTGGCCAGGGTGGTCCATGCCTTAGTCATCTCCAGATTGGATTACTGTAATGCACTCTACATGGGGCTACCCTTGAAAACGGCCCGGAAATTTCAACTGGTCCAATGGGCGGCAGCCAGGTTGTAAACCGGTGCTCCTTACAGAGAGAGGTCAACCCTCCTGTTTAAGGGGAGTGGAACCCCTTCTGTCCAGCGCAGGCCGCCCCCCTCTGCCCTGTTCGGCCTTTCTACTGACCAGAAGGACCTCTGTCTTGTCTGGGTTCAGTTTCAATTTGTTCACAGGCTCAGGACCTGGAGGGCCTCCTGAGCAGCAGGTGGGAAGGAGTCGTAGAGTTAGACGTCATCTCTGCTTTCAGACCAGGAACAGGACATTTTCCCGGTTCTGTCCACTTGGCTGCCTTTTCTTTGCTGTGGTTGAAAGGAACTTGGGAAAGTTTGGCTTTGGCTTCTGTGCTGATGAGGCCGGAATGAAAATGAGAATGTCCTTCCCAGGGAAACAGACCCAAACAGAGCGGCATTTCTACTCCGTGGGAGGGTCCTATATAATATATTATTATATCACGAATATTATAAACAATATTCTGATATACCAGTAATAGTATATCAATGGGAGTGTCCTGTATAATTATTATTATATTACTAATATTAGGATATTATAATATTTTAATAGTATATACCTGGGAGTGTCCTGTATATTATATTACTACATTACTGATAGATTATACTAATGTAGTATTATAATATGATATCCATGGGAGTGTCCTGTATAATATATTATTATATTACTAATGTTATAATATTCTGATATACCAGTAATGGTATATCCATGGGAGTATCTTGTATAATTATTATTATATTACTAATATTAGGATATTATAATACTTTAATAGTATATACCTCGGAGTGTCCTGTATATTATTATATTACTGATATATTATACTAATGTAATATTATAGTATGATATCCATGGGAGTGTCCTGTATATTAT